TGGCTAAGGTGAAATTATAACTAGAAATATGTTACTGAATAAATCATGCTGGATAGCACTGTAATTTGACTGAGGGTCTAGTGTGTTAACCAAAGAGGGGATGATCGGTGTGGGGTCTGGAAAAGGAGATTTGCATGCTCATCAGCTTTTACCCAGCCCTGCTAGGAAAGACAGGCTGTAAAGCCAGAGACTGCAGACTCTGCCAGGTTCGAGTGCCTTGAGACACCTCCCCGCACTACCCACAAAGAGTGGGGTGGACCTGGCATCCTTGTTTTTGGAATGGCAAATGCTACCTTGGTGTGTGTGTGTGTGTGTGTGGGTGTGTGTGTCTCTTTGTGTGTGTGTGTGTGTGTGTGTGTGTGTATGCGCATGCGCACGCGTTGGCATACCAGTCTTAAGGATTTGAAAGAGGTCGTTTAGTCTTGTTAGACACCTTTAAATTTAACCTTAAAATTTAACCAGAAAGAATTTCGAATGAGGCTGAATTATTGAGAGACTCTACTTAGTTTTTATTTGTTGTTACCAAGACATAATTTGTGAGCCTGAAAGTGCTAACTTGGTCTCAAAGTTAACTTCTATAGTGTCCCTGTGTGCTCTACTGACTACACAGTCCTAGTGGGGAATACATTTTAAGACACACCCCCACCCAGGATTTCCACAACAATTTCCATGGACAAATTAAAAAATATGTGCTCATTGCTTTTCTTACAGTTGTGGGGGACTTAGCTAAAGGGTGCTCTGGTCAGCAGCTGAGTTTGAGGGGAAAATTTTGGAGGAGGACACAGATCCTTTTACTTGAAAATTGGACACTCCATTGATTAAATGTACTAGATTTTAATGTAGGCAACATCTACCTACTAGACCTGCTGCCCACTCTATGCAAAGGGATGGGCAGTCACTGTTCCATTACTTGTGAATACTCAGTACCTGATGTGGTCCATTAAGCGGTAGGAGTCAAGTGGTTAGTAGCATGAGGGCCAAAGTGAAGAAGACAATATACCTTTAAGATCTCCCTCTGGTGTTGCAGTTGACTTTAGTTCGAGAAAGATAGGATCTTTTCACTTCTTAGTTTGTTTGCTTGTTATTCTTCTCTGGCTATGAAGCCATAGCCATTTAGACATAGCTTGGGTGGTTGTTCTTTTAGCCATTTCAAGCATCCATACACATCCCAACTGCCCGAACAACAAGTTGATTACAGCAATTAATATTAATCTGGTAACTGTCCAAGGTGGCGGGGCTGGCTTATTTCACCTGCCAAGATTCAGATGACGTCTTCAATGCAGCCATGTCTCTTCTACAACCGTGTACATCATAGCGCTGTGTTATGGAGACTTTCCACTCAGCTGGAAATTTCAGGCCAAGGGCCGTAATCTTGGAAACTTAAAGTTTCATCAGGTTTATCTTTCAAAAGCAGTTTCGGGACAAGCTCGCTAAGAGACAAGAAAAGGGAAGACTAAAAGGCTTTTAGAGACTTCTCATTTTGTAAAATTACATTAAAATCACATCTTGCTGAAAGGATTTTAAGAAAGCAAACAATAAAACAGGAAGAAACAGCCAGTGGGAGAAATAAAGAGAAGTGCATAGCAGAAAGAGGTGACAGGAAGAAAGATGAAATTTCTGGTAAGTTCTCAAATTTCAAACAGGAGTGGCAAGGAGCACATATTCATTAGACTTGGAAAAATGCTATTTATCATTTTTAATCGGTTTGCCTCTCAAGCAGTGGTTGCTAATGTGAACACTGACATTCCTTGCACATATCACAGCTTTGGGGAGCAGGTTGAGATTCTTATTGGCTAATTGAGTTTGAGCAAAAACAAGTTCAAGCTTCTTAGTTTTCTTTCTTAGGGGTCACTGGAGGGCGGGAAGGGGCGTCGCTGGGCAGACCTTCCTTAGGAGAGTTCTCCTGATATCTAGTCATTAAAACCCCTTGATTCCTACAGTCACTGAAAGCATTTACACCAGTTCACACTTGAAAATCTGCCCCAGATGGCACCACGCCAGGAGTTGATTCTTATTGCTTCAGAAGGAGGCGCAAATATTGCCGTGTCTGAGCGGCACTGTGGCACTGGGCAAGAAGGGACATTCCTTCCCAAGAATATATGGCCTTCTTAGTTTTCTTTCTTAGGGGTCACTGGGGGGCGGAAAGGGGCGTCGCTGGGCAGAACTTCCTTAGGAGAGCTCTCCTGATATCTAGTCATTAAAACCCCTTGATTCCTACAGTCACTGAAAGCATTTACACCAGTTCACACTTGAAAATCTGCCCCAGATGGCACCACGCCAGGAGTTGATTCTTATTGCTTCAGAAGGAGGCGCAAATATTGCCGTGTCTGAGCGGCACTGTGGCACTGGGCAAGAAGGGACATTCCTTCCCAAGAATATATGGCTTTATTGGGGTCAGATGAAACTTTGCCCAGTTCTTTACTCATGTGGAAAGCAAATGTGTCTAATCCACTTTCCCAAGGAGGGGAACGGGAGCACAGCAGGAAGGCAGATGAGTCCTACTTGTTTGAATGGACTGAGAAGACACCAGACAGAGCTGCATTCTCCAACCCCAATGCGGTTTTAGATCCTGAACCCTTTGCTGTTTGCAGACTTAAAATTGTCCAGCTCACAGCCATGGAAAGAAACAGCCTTACTGCTTTAATCCCTTCCAGAGGCACAATGGACCTGAGCCTCAGCCAGAACAGGTCCAGTTTCCTCCTCAGACTTGATAACTTTGCTTTATAAAATGAGCTCATAATTAACCATTTCAAGGGTTAATTATGATTCTTTAGAGATCCTGGACTGGCATTTATTTTTTTAAAAATGTTTACACAATTTAGCTTTATGTGCTATGTGTGTGAGTGTGAGTGTGAGTGTGAGTGTGTGTGTGTGTGTGTGTGTGTGTGTGTGAACAGCCAAAGCATTTAACATTTTCTTTCCAAACCCTACATCTCCAAATATACTTGGAAGGAGAGACTTATTAGGTCCATTAGGAAGACTATGTTATATACTCCCTAAAAATTATGATGAGAAACCATATGCAAGAGGCCAGATCACTGGCTCACCCCATTGCCAGGCAGTGGGAAGAGAGTTTGACACTGGCAGAAGGCCTTGGGGGTGAAAGGCAAACGGAAGGGTGGGAGAAGGCCAGGGGGAGTGGTAGAATGCCGCTCCGAGAGAATGTGTGTCATTCTGTTCTTTATAGCCCAAGAGGGTTCCTGGGCCTCACCATCCTGCCCTCCCCTCACCATCCTGCCCTCCCCGAGGGTTAGGCTGCTCAGAGATCACAGGAACCAACCTATTGCTGGGAGTGGCTCCTCTCAAACAGGCATTTTTTATTATCAAACAAGTGATGGGGGAGGCGGGTGAGGAAAGATGGGAGAAACTGAAGCCATCTGCTGCCACATCATCAGTTTTTAATGAAAAATCTACCCTGTCTCATCCTGACAGGGACAGAATTCAGTTCTTGGACTTGGGAAGTTATGGCATCAAATCAGTGTGTATGTGTGTGTGTGTGTGGTGTTTTCTCCATCATCTACTTCAGAAAATATTCTCTCCTTTCCATTAACATTTTTTTCCCTAAAAAAACCAAAGTTGTATGTGTTCATTGCAGAGGATTTGGAAACTAAAATGCACCTAGAATTTTACCACTAAATTGTATCAACATTAGGTGAATAGCCACCAGTCTGTTTTTGATTTTTTTTTATGACGTCTAAGTTCCAAGAGTACACACAGGAATCTTTCTCACATTTGTGACCCAATGTTCTGACAGCTCCTAGAATGTCATGACCTGCAGATGTTGGTTGAATGAATGAACAAATAAATAACTCCATAGGAATAATTTGAATTGAATAATAGAAATAAAGTTGCTTAGATGTGACAAACTTGGAACCAAGCTGCTACTGCTAATTAACTGTGTCTCTTTGGATCAGTCACTTGACCTCTCTGGGCCTGAGTTTCTTCTTCAGCACAATAATCATTATAGTTAACACTGATTGAGTGCTTACTATGTGCCAAGCATTGCTATAAGCTCTCTGTGTGTTTCTCACCATAATTCTGTGAGATAGGAACCTTCTACCCCCTTTTTATATGCAAGGAAACTGAGTCACGCAGAGGTTGATTTGCCCATGGTCGCACAGACAATAAGGGGGAGAGCAGGGCTTGAACTCACGCATCGGGGCTGTCCTTTCCAGTGGAATGCCTTGGCTGAGATTAGATGACTCCTCCGGCCCCTCCTGGCTCCAGTGCTGAGTGAGGGAGGAGTGGTGCAGGAGGGTTGTGCCAATTATTCTCCAGCCGAGCACAGGAAAGCGAATTGTAGAGCAAGGTCCACATGATTAGTGCATGGAGATCACAGAGCAAAGTTCTCAGCCACTTCCTCCCGACTGTGTGTGGAGTAGGCATGGGCATTCACAGAGCGCAAGGATAAATCAGTTTCTGTCCAACCAGTGCGCCGTCATTCAGAGGCAGCTTTACCTGGGCTCTTGGCATGTGCCCTTCGGCCTCTAGGGCTTCACCTTACAGGACAGTGCACCTGAGTCAGGCAGGGAAGTAAATAAGAAAGAAATCTGATCATTCTTGATTGTGAACAGCACCTGATGCATTTGATGGGAGAGAGAGACTGGGACTCTCCTTGGCCGATCAAATAGGGTTTCAATGGGCAGGACACTATCCCTTTCTCTCCCCCTTCCCAGAAGTAGTTTGGGCACATAACTTGTGTTCTGCCTTATCCCCTTGGTAACCAAGTCTTCTTTTTGGTAACGAGGAATGGGCTTCGGTAAACAGATCTATTTGTGTGACTCCTATTACTCATTTGAAGCAATGTCACTCCTTTTTCCACTGTGGTCTGTGTGTCTGAGTCAGAGAGAGCCTAAACAGGCTTCTTTGAATTGATGGCTCACTCCCAACCTCTCTTGACAGCCTGCCAACCTAGAAGGGCGTAGCTTACCAACAAATCTTTTTTTTTTTTTTAAGCCAGACTGATTCATAGAAACTCCTTTAAAACACAGGGAAAAGAAACCGCCCATCACACACCCCAGCACACCAGCGCAGGAAACTTATAACCTCAGGAGGCAGGTCCCTCCCCTCACTGTGGTCACAAACCTCCAGACGAGCAGACCGGGCAGCTGCCAGCTCCTGCCACTCCAGGCACCTCCTTTGCTGGGACCCTCAGGTAGGACAGCTCCCAACACTGTGGGGAAACGCGGAGAATTCTCTCTCCTTTCCACTGCTCTCTTTCTTCTGACCTCATCTAAGTTTTTCTTTTTCTTTTTTCCCTTTTCAACGTTTCTGTGATTCCTTGAACTGAATCTTTGAAACTTTTGGCTACAAGTGGATACCGAGACAACTTTTTCCATAAGGTTCAGAGGACTGGGCTGTAATGATCTTGCAGTGCCCGGGTGCTTGCTCTGAAGATGTGAAGGGAGCAGGGACTTTGGAACACACCTGGATAGGACAGTCTTTATGGAGGAAACACCACAAACCTTTGAAATGACAGGCGGCGCTTGCCAGATGTTTTCCATTCCTCCATTTTGATTCAAAAATTGCTTCAGGACTTGAATTGTGTCTGCTTGGTTGGTTGTTTGCTGGTCTTTTTGGGGTGACGGTCGGTAGAGGGCTGTTCTCCGGTTTATTTTTGCTGTGGCTTTCACTACTGCCTTTCTTGCTTGTTCATTCACTTCTTTTTGAATTGAAGTGTCTTTTTCTCCCCACAGGTTGGGAAAGAGAGGTGGGTTTTGTTTAAAGAAAACCGTTAGAGAGAGGGAGAGAGAGAGAGAGAGAGAGAGAGATAGAGAGAGAGAGAGAGAGAGAAGCAAATGCTTTTTTCAAATAAGACTCTGGGAGGGGTTCACTTAATAGAATCTGGAGCCCGAACTCCTTTTCTCCTTGGCCAGATGTGCAGGATGGGAGAGGAAGGAGGGAAACTGGAATTGGGGGAGAGGGTGGGGCAGGGGAACTTCATTTATTTCTGTAAGAAATGTTAAATGGCTTTGTGCTTCCACCCCAGAAATAGCTGGATTTTAGTGCTGAGGGAACAGTTGAGAAATCAGAAGTGATTTAAAAAAAATGTGTTTTAGGTGGATGTGGAATTTTTCTAAATGGAAGGCAGTCATTGTTCGGGGACGTGTATCGTCTCACGCGTCCAAGTTGTGGTTGCACAGATGCAAACACTCGTGCTTAATCACGCAGTGAATCTGGAGAAAGGAAGGAGTAGGTGCTTTCTGTTTGCTTTTTTTTAGGTTAGCATTTTGGTTGAGGTGTGGCCTATTTCAACATAGTTACGGGTGGATTCCAACCCCCGCTCCCCACTCCTGCACCACACACACATAAACAAGAGGACGAAAATGACAGGATTCAGCTTGTCTGGTGAAATTAGACTTTTCCTTTAGAAATGCAGTCCGTTGGAAGGGAAGGTTTAAATGTAATCAGCCTGTATACATTGTACAGGCAATGCTTCTGGGAAAACTGCCCTCAGGGGGATGATTAAGTAAATGCAAGGGCAACTTTTCGAGATGCAGGGAACTCCCACACTTGCTTCAAAGGTTTTTTATTTCCAGATTACCTGATATGGATTAGGAAAGCCATTATTAAGTTGATAGTAATGGTATTCTATGATGTTAGTACACATCTTTTCGTGTACTAATAAGCTAATAGAAAATATGGAAAATTCTGTGTGTAAACCATCATGGATTGCATTGTTTGTGCCCCATTTGATGCTATACTGTAGCTTTATAAATGAGATAATAGGCTGCGTGTTATTTCCTGGACTTTGAGGGCAACTGAAAAAAAAAAGCAATTCTGATTCCCGCTTTCCCCTCTTCCTCCAAGAAGTAGTGAGAGTCCTTAGCGAAGGCAGTTTTTCTTGATCGCAGCTGGAAGTCCTTGACAAGGCTGAACTGTGAGGGTTATATTCTCCTCCCCTGCTGCCTCTCACCCTCAAAGGAGGATCGAATTCCACCCCAGACTCTGAAGAATGGGGCGGGGGCGGACGCTGTCTGGAGGGCTGCAGGACATCCGGTCTAGCGTCCTGGTCAGAGGCCCCCCCAGACTGTACATTAGTGCTTTGAGGGCACTAAACTGTCCTGGGAGTTGTCAGAATGCCGTCAAGGACCAACCCAGGGCAGATCACATCTCAGAACAGACGCTGGCTACCTCCCAGGAGTTCAGGGCAGACCTCTGAGGAAGGAAGGACATCCTTCCACAGACCACTGGAAAGACTCACTGTGGCTTTCCCAACCCTTCCCACTTCCCTCCTGAGACCAGCGTGGGCCCATGCAGTCCCCAGGGGGACATGCAGACATGGGGGGCAGGGGGGGCGGTGGTTACCGAATGGGCTTCACCAAGGCTGTGCTGGAGATGAAGACCCTCTTGGCTTGGTCTGGTTGGCTCTGTGGGTTTTGGTTCATGCCGGACCACTGAGATCAATGGGTCCCGCAGGAAGAAGAAAACAGCTTTTTATAGGCTCATCAGGGCCTGATGTGGAACACATCTGAAAAAATGACCAGAGAAAAGGGCACAGGACAAATTTAGTTATATTCCATCCTTAATTTTTTTTCTCAGTTTGGGAGGGATCTTGAAGATCCACTTTTCCATTCTCCTACAATATGCAGAAATCTTATTTTTACACCACCCTGGACAGATGGCCGTTTGACATTTCTTTAACATTTTGGGGTGGGGGGCGGTGGGAGGCCCAGTACCTCAGAGTGCACGTCCATGCCCACTCCCCTTTGCTGGAAAGCTCTAATGATTAGAGTTTCTTAAATCCAGCGAAATTGGGTTTCTAGAACTTCTATTCTTTGTTCCTAGCTCTGCCGTCCTGAAGCAACCCAGAATATATTCCATTTTTGTTGTTGCTGCTCCACCCAATGCATATTACCCTCTAAACTTTTAACCCTTACTTAATTGCTAATGGATCAAACTTGATTATGAATATTATTGCCTGAGACTCAGCAAAGGAGCAGGAAACATTTTGAATCGTTGAAACTATGCACGTAGTAAAGCATAGCCATATGATTTGAGTCCGAGGTATTTCATTTTCTACACATGAATATGGTTCCTTAATTTACCACCTGTATATACAAAAGCTCAGAGACATTCAGGACTCTCAGATATACATACTCAGGGGGACACACCCAGTTGCTCCCCACAAGGTCATGGTTAAATCAATTTAATACCAGACACAGAGGCTTCTAACTTGGCCATGTGGGGGTTGTCCCTTAACTTGGTCCAGAGTTCCTGTAGCCCGTGCCTTTACACTGTTACCACCTGTCATGGTAACTATGGGAACAGGCTGCCTTTTGGTGTAACCTGGGTCTAATTGCTGGCAGGTGACCTGGATGTCAATCCACTGAGGGAGCTCGTCATCCTTAACCAGTACAGGACTGGGATCTTCTGACCATGAACTTCCCGTTTCCAATCCTCTTCCCAGTTCTGCCCAGATGACTCTGATTTCTATTTAGTGATCAAGGGAGCCCAAATATGGTTCTGATTAGTAGTTTAATGAATTCCCAGCACCCCACCCCAAACACAATGTCTCAAGATCATACTTGGTAACCCTCCGGTCCCTGGCGCTGGCTAGGTAAAGTCATTGCTCTCAATTTAATTGGAAGATTCAGTGATAGGAAGCATAAAGATAAAACTACAAATCTTCATGGATGTTGCTGTTTCTCTTCCCTTTTCATAAAATATTTGGATCAACATTTTCTTTCCTGTTGTGGAAATGGTGTTTTCCTGGAACTAAAATGGACGCCTCAGCCTCTAATGCTGGTGGCCTTATGTGGGTGCGGCAGTTTTTGTGTTTTCTGAACCTATTTCATGAATTCTGTCTTCCAATGGGGAAGGTGAAATTGAGAACCCTTTAGGCATAGGTTGAAACTGGTGGCAGAAATCCTGGAGTAGATGCAAACATTGAACAGGAAGACGAAGGGGCTGTAGTCCTGTCCTGACACTGCTGTGGGACCATGGTTAGGTCACTTGTCTTCTCCATAAACTTGGGGGTTCCCAAGGCCTGTGCAGCTCTGAAATTTATTGTCCCAAGGTCCTAACATTCCTATCTTGAGAAATCCTTGGCTCATGCTCATAGCTAGTTTAATCCATAAAAATTGGTTGAAAAGTGAAACGAAGCAACTTGTTGCACTGAAACAGCATTTTAGAGGACCGAGGCCCCAGTAGTTTCTTCTGCTTCATCCACTCAGAGATTTCTTAGGCATGGGGCTTGCTGGCTTCATCCTCTAATAGCAATGAGCACTCACTCAGCTCTGGGGAGAAAAAGAAGAGGTTTGATTAATAAAACACAAAGAAGCCAGCTCAAATGAGGAGGGGCAGGCTACCTAAGCCTGTCAAGACGGAGAGCCGCCAGGCACCCAATCAGGCTCAGGGAGAAACTGAGCAGGTCCTGGGAAAGGAACTCCACCCTCTTCTTAAGGAGGGAGACTCTGCAGCGTAAGGGTGTGGCTGTTAAAGTGTGGATGGGAGCCAGTGAGGAACAAATTGAGAGGAGGAAAGGGAAGCTACCAGGAGGAAAGGGCAGAGGGGGAGCAAATGGAACTGCCTGTGTTTCCCTAGGGCCTTGTGTGTTGGGACAAAGAAGAGGGAGATGGGAAGGCCTAGAAGAGGGAGAAAAAGCAAAGTGGACAGAGAAAGACGAAGGAGGTGAGAGAGCAAGACAGAAGTGTGAGGATGTTTCCACTCCTAAGTCCCTCCCTCTTGTTTGGGCACCACACACCCTTCATCTTTCAGGACACTCCTCAGGTTCAAACATTCTGTTCACTGTGCCCGGTGAAGAATCTTAAGTTGCGCAGGCACAAATGTTGGTCAATACAGCCTTGGTATCATTTGTGTTTCCATGGAATATTGTGCCAATAGTGCAGTGATTTACCAGACATTTCTCAACTCTTTTCAGATCAGAGCTGAGAGCCAAATGAGGTCTTTGATCCTTAGACTTCTTCCTTCAAGTAATCAAAGGCCCCTCTACCACGGGCTGGAGCTATAGGTTATTGGAGAGTGGATTCCTATGCTGAAACAATGAGTCCGGCCAGTGGGTGTGTTCACACTTAGCTCAGAGAGGGCTGAGGCCTGGAGCTTCCTTTTACTTTGTGATTCTGTGGGGAGGGGACTCCGTGCTGAGGATAGGGTGCAGGACGGAATGTTTGAAGCTCATCTCAGGGCTTGCAGTGTGGGGATGGGTCTCGGCCTTTGGTGGCCAGGCGGGAAGAAGCAGTGGCCCTTGAAAGACCCTTTGTTTTTGCCAGTGGCACTGTTCTGAGGGGCTGTGTTGACTCCCTGACTGACTAGGAGGTAGCAGGGGGAACAGGGTAGTTTGGAAACTTCTGCTGAACTCTAAGACCAAGACAGGAGCGAGATCACACTGGAGTGGAAGAGGCCTGCCTAGATGGCGGGAGATGGGCTTCAGTTCTCATTCTGCTTTCCCTCTGGGGACTCCATTTCCTCCTTTGTCCAGGGATTGAACTGAATAACTTAACCACCTCTGAACTTCTAAACAACCAATTGCCCTAAGAAAGAGCAACAAAACTCGCCCACCCAGTGCTCTCTGGGCACCTCCCCGCTCGTTGCCACCCCCCAAGGCTGCAGCTTTGCTGGTTGAAGCATGTTGCCGCCATCTACTGTCGACCCGCCCAAGCGCCGCTGGGCCCGGGGCCACACCTTGATTTTCTTCCCAAACCCTAGTTATTATTTTGGCAACTTCTCCCTTGAAGACTTTCTGGCTGCCAGAGCGCTCCTCTTTGTCAGCAGCAGAAGACACTGATGCTTCCGTCCTCGCCTGGGAGACTTCGCCCGAGGGCCTGACCAGCTGCGATCTGGGGGCGTGGGCTGGCTGCCTCTTCGCAGCCCAAGCCTGGCCTCAGCCTTTGCAGATGTGGCCCTGACCCATTCCCTCCCCGGACAAGGGGAAATAAGAGAGACACGGAATTCTCTGTGGGAGCATTTGCAAAAACAAGATTCATGCTATTTGCTTGCCTTCAGCGTAGATGTTGGTCCTCAGATTCTGCCAGGGAAGCCCGAAGCCCATTTTGCTGGCCCAAGCCTCTCATTTTACATAATTGATCAAAAGACTAACCAGCCACAGTATATAGCCTTTGCTCTGTGTCGGGCATGGCCCTTTAATCCTCACATCAACCCTATGAGGTTTATAGGTCACAGTTAAGAAGCATGGAGTCAGCAAATCACCACGATGTATGCTTTAAATGTCTGACAATTTTATATGCCAATTAGACCTCAGTAAAACTGAAATTAAAAAAAGAGAAAAAAGAAGTGGTAGAGTCAGGATTTGAACCGCAAACCTGTGAGCCTTACCATTAGGTACTGCCTCTCTAGGAGCCATGGGCCAGGGAGGTTTTGTGATTTTCCCACAGTCAGCAGCTGGTCAGGCTGAAGTTTCATGAGAAGCTGGTTTTCTAATAGGTGCTCTTTCTTCTTCTTTTTAAAATAACATGCTTGCCCCCTCACTCCTGCCCCCTAGTCCCTCCTTCCTAACTATGTGAGAGTCTGTCCATACCAGTGCCGATAAACACTACCCTTTCCATAGTCACCCCCATTTATGATCCCCAGCACTTGGGAGATGCAGTCCCCTTTCCCCAGGATGAAAAAAAATAGATGTTTTTCTTGGAGCATGGAGATCCTTGTTACTTTTGCTGCTTGATGGCTGATGTTTCTCCAGGTCATAAAAATTTCCCTGCACTTAAAAGCATCAGGCCTTGTATGATGTGTACATAGTGAGGAGCAACCCGGAGTTCTCGCCTCCCACACCAAGTGTCAGATATCCCGGGGCAGGAGGAAATGGTTCTTTAGGAGCTTTCTCTCCACATGTTTCCCATGGAGAATGAATGCCCCCCTGTCCCACCCCTCTGTGAAAACAATATTTAGAATGGCAAGTACACTTGATATCAAACAACAATAACACTGGCCAGAAAAGCTCATCCAAGGTCTCATCCACTGGCCTGACTTGAATCCCAGCCTTTTCCTCCTCCGGATGCATCCTCCATGGCCGCTCCAGAAGAGAGTATTTCCTTTTCTGCCTTTATGTGAAATGGACATCCACTGTGCCCACGCAAATACTCCCCGGTGGGAAACAAACACATCAAAAACAAACCAACAAAAGCAAAATTGACCTGAATGTGTGGAGGCTGGGAAGATGTTCGTGCCACAACCTTACACAGTGTCCTGAGGGAGCAGCCGCCGCCAGAGTTTCGGGTGTCATGCTGAGGAAGATGGCACGGAGACGGAGACGCGGGCTGACTCATGGAGATCATATGACTAGGAACAACTTGGCTTTCACCATCTCTTGTGCCTCGGAGGAAGAAGCCTGCCTTTGGTCAGATGGTGTGAGAAAGCTTTCTTCAAAGTTTGCAGTTATCCAGAAAGAGGGTGGGATGTCACCGCTGGAAAAATGTCAATCAATGAAAAGGCGGAGTGGTGTCTAGCAGTCGAGTCTCTCAGGACTGTGTTCTCACCTGATTGAGATTTGGGAACCTAAGGTGGTGCCCTCAGGCTAATTTTCTGATAACCGGAAAGTTCTGTTGCAAAGGTAACCATTTTAGAAATGGGCTGAAGACGAAGCATTAGACAAAGGGCAGGACGAAGTTCAGGGGAGTTGTTGCCAAGAGAGACGCTGATGCATTGCAGAAGGACCTTCCTACTTTGGGTGTGTGTGTGTGTGTGTCTTGGGAGGTAGTGAACTCCCCGTAACCAGAGGAGTTTAAGCCTGAGTTAGATAGTTCCTTGGTATAGCTTTGTAGATGAGTTTTCATGTACTTGGGAGGAACTGCAGTCCAGAGATTCTGTAACTGAATTAGAAAAATTAAATCCGTGGACAAATTAGTGTTTAGAAATTTAAGGTATTATCTTTTCACTCACTTTTTTCCTCTGGAATAAAGGACAATAAGCACATATATACCCCCTATCTAGTCAAATGTACTGAGGAGATATTCATAAGTTTATATAGGTTTTTATATGGAAATATATAACAAGAGTTTGCATGTAATAAGATGCTCAATACATAGTTATAGTAATATATAAATAATGTCTAAAAATAACAAGGACAAAAATTTATGTTTTAAAAGGAAACATTTTTCCCTCTAGAATTCTGTTTTTTATTATAAAATCTTCAGCCTTTTTGACAATGATTATTTTTCTATCAAGAAGAAAGTATTTATTTGCTCACTGAACAGATATTGATTCGATACCTGTCATACACAAGACGCTTCCCTCCTTCAGGAACTTAGGGTCTTCAGGATGGGGGAGCCAAACATTTCCAGAAATAGCTGCCACTAGTGGTTTTCATAAAGGGCAATGGAAGAGCTGCAGCATAACAGGGGGAAATGACGACTTCTGATTCTGTATCTGGGAAGGCTTCCTAGAGGGGGCAGGATTTGAGCTTTTTGAAAAGAATTTGATAGGTAGTTACTGGAGAAAGGATGCTTTTTTCTTTCTGAAACCCAATTCCTGGGATCCCCACATTCCTAGGATTGCCAGGGCTGGAGTGCCTGCAGAGTTTAAAGTCTCTTTTTCCTGGTGGCGGGGAGTTTGGAGAATTTTGAACAGAGGAGTAACATGGTCAGATAACACACTGGTAGTGTGGAGGGCATATTAGAGGGGTCGTTCAGGAAAAGGACCTTGGGCTGATGCTATGGTCCTGGCTATGACATGAGCTGGACAAGGACAATGGAAAGTAAAGAATGGATGCGAGATAAATAATGGAGGAACAACTCATGGCTGGATTGTGATGTTTTGAGCAATAAAAGCAGGACGAGAGGAAGGAGAAACAGGGGACTTAGCATCTGGCTGTTATTACTCTCTTCTCCCCAGAAAAGCCTGGGCCATCTTGGGCTGCCAGGGAAATGACCAAACTGCCTTTTCCAGCCAGCCAGCGCCTCGGGCTTCCCAGAAAGCTCTCTTGCGCCATCTGGTAGAGGATATCTCCACTAGCCTTTGTCTGGGAGAATCTCACCCACTCTCTGATGAATCATGGACATTGGAGCTCTGCGGGACTCTCCTGTTGCTCACAGGGCCTCGGCTCCCTGTTTCTGATTATGTTATGCCGCCAGGCTCAGGGTATTCTTCAATGACTCAAGCCCGGGATTTCCACCACTTCCTTTGCTGGAGAAGTAGGTTTTTGGTTACTCTGTTTTATTGTATTGTTCCCAATGATTGTACCACAGATCACCCTTAAAGAATTCCTCCCCCCAGGCTCTGATAGCAGCTTAATAAGCACACAGACAACACAGCAGAAAGAAGTTATCTGACCCGGAGCTTAGCAAACATGAAGCCAAATGACCAACATTTTTAGGAGTCGATTATCTTAAAGTCTCTGTAGTACTAGTTTCTCATTTAAAAAGAAAAGGTGTCCAGAAGGGCCTGATAAATTTCTCATAGTCTGAGGATCTTAAAAGTGTTAGGTTTCCCAAACAAAGGCAAAGAGGCAATCAATGCAAGGCAGTCTCAGAGCTATGTTCCTTCGATTCCTTCATTTGTGGGGAGGAAGGTATTAAGAGGGAGTCAAGAAACCAACAATCACTTAAGAGGATGGAGGCAACGGAGAGCAATTATCCCCCTGCCCACAGGAGGTCATCATTTACAGCCTCCATCACCAGCAATTGTAATCCTCAGGGCCATTTCCAGGAACTGCAATACATTTTCTATTAGCCAAGAACTTAACCCAGATCTAGAATGGTTGTGAGGCTTATATCTGGGGCAGGTGCATAAAGAGACAGCTTCTCTAATGTGGCCTGGGCATTGTGGGGAGGAAAGGAGAAGCATGGTCAGAAACAACAAATGGCGGCAGTGGAAAGGGAACTGGCAGGCCTGTGCCTTAGGACAGAAAGAAGAATCTAGGAGGGATAACAGAGAACCCATGTGTGGCTGTTAGTCTCTTACCTCCATTTCTCTTAGCAGTCACTTCTCTCTAGAGATAACATTCATGCCTCCTATATTTTTCTCAGTTTTCCACCCAGTCCCATGGAGCTTTGACCAACCTGTGTTGGATGTTGGGTTGGTGAGGGTACACGGGGAGATCTTCCTCTGCTTACAATGGTGGGTGGAGAAATGTGATCCTGGAACCCCACATAGTATAGTCAGTGGATATCCTATCCTTTAAGGACACTGTGCATCGACTAGCTCTGGTGGCCTGTATCTGAGAGTCTAAGCACCACAAATAACCCTATTGTTATGGGAGTTCCCAACAACTAACCGACAAACTTTGGGACTGCCCAGTGCACAAAATGCTGGGAGAGAGGCAGGCATTGCACCCAAGCAGTCAGAATTGCAATATTGTTATTGTCTACTGCCTGGTTCGAGCTGCCCAGCTATGACTTGGGGTATGCTTTGCATTGGAGAGTGCCATCCATGGCATTTTAGAGAGGTGTGAGGGAGAAGTCAATTATTGTTTTAGTGGAACATGCAACCAATACTTCCAATGATATTAACGCTCAGAAATGGTCTCTTTTTAGTGCTATGAAGCAAGATATACACCAGCGCAGGAAATGAGTCTCCCTGGAAGCTACACTGCAAGTGATGGATGTATAGAAATCGAGAGAGCAGGACTCCTGTTATTTAAACCCATCTACTCTGCTCTTTGTTAGATCCCCAGACATTCACCCATTAGGTGCCACTCATCCTTAAAGCTCTAAGGGTTGTCTCCCACCCAACTTCCTTAGGCTGGGGGTTTCTCTCCTGGGGGTCATTATTATAGGGACTGAATAACTAGGAATGATCCAGGCCAGAAATTTAAAGATACAGTTCATTCTGTTTCCATATATGTTGGGAGGGCCACTGAAAACAATAGAAGCCTTTCTACACTGACAATGGATGACACCAAAAAACCTGACAAATTTGGGGCAGTGAAAAGGTGAAGTTATAGGTATAAAGTGATAGCTCCACTAAACAGCCACTACCTCTGGCTGTATCCAGAGGCCAAAAGCAGAGAAAATTGTGTTTTCTGCACACTAAGAACACTTGCCATTACAAGACAATGTGCTCCTTTCCTTGGTGAGTTGATGGAAGACAATCACAGAAATCTATGATGAAAGAGAGTCACTTATTTGCTTGATTTTACCCCCACCCCCAACCTCTCCTCTTGCCTGTACTGGGCAGGAGACAATGATTGGATAGGGCTGTCGTTTAGATCAGAAGTGAGATGTGCAGGCCAGGAACTCGAGTGCCCCAGGGGTGTGTGGATTGGCCAAGGTGAGAATGCAGTGGGGGGAAGATATTTGGAATGCAATGATGTTCAAGTCATCAAAATGGAGGGTGTGGCCAGGTATAAATCAGGCAGACAGAAATGCTGTTGAGTCCCCAAAGACATGGAAGGCTGAGAAGAATGAACTTTCTCCTCCTCATTCCTGAGGTCTCCCACTCAAGCGGCAAAGATTAGTCATAATGGCAACTTGTAAGAATGATTGCATATACACGCCCTTGTGACCTGGATGGCAGATATCCTCTTACTTGCATTTTACATGGGGCAGCCTGGTGACTGATTGACTGGTTTGGGTTGGCAACAGTTTCATATAATAATCATAGTTATAACTGCAACCAAAGCAACCCTCTTAGTACCTGCCATGTGCCAAGCAAGGTGCTAGGAGTTTCACATATATAATCCAATTTAACCCTCATATTTCCCTGTTGCAATCCTCCACTTCATATAGGAGGAAACTGAGACCAAAAGGTCAAGTAACTTTATATGAGTCTGACTCAACCTCTGTCTAATTCCAAAACCTCTTTTCACGGTGCATTAAAGTCAAGCAGAAAATCGTGGAGGTGTGTAAGAGCCTGAGAAAAGCAAAAATGAACTTGAAGGCCTGGAGAGAGTATTCACAGCAGACACATGAAAGCTCCAAGTTCTCCCCTGAGGCCACAGGAGAAACTTCATCATTTTTGTCACTCACAGTGAAATTGGACAAATTCCTACAAAATAGCCTGGGTGGAAGGGAAGTGCTTTGATTGGGAAGAGGGGCGGGACTTATTGGAGCAAGAGTGGAAGTGTCTGCCTCTCACGCTTGGCCTGTAAAGAGCAAGGCACTCTAGTGTTTCCTGAGCAGAGATAAAAGGCACCTGAAGTGCTGGAATTAGTGCTCTTCAATAAATACCTGCTACAGTAGGAAAGTGGCTCAAGCACACTCAACGCTTCAATTAAATGAGGTGGAGTGAGAGAGAGACGTGGGCCGATTGCAGGATGTGCAGAGCCCCTAGGTGGGGAAGTCCACATGTCCCACACTGCTAGGGTGTGAATAAGCCGAGCCCTTTGCTTTGAAGTCCCTGGGGGCCTGCACTGCATGTGACTGTTTGGGCATGACACAGCACTCCGGCAGCTGACATAAACCAGAATAGCAATGTGCATCCTTCACACTCCCTTTATGTCCTGGGTTTTACGATCCATGGGCTCTCTTTTTCTACACCGCTGAGATTATGGCTGAACACTTTTGTTTATCCATGCACATTCTTAATCTATATTAGTTCCCAATTCTCCCACCATGTGATTTATGCATTTGCCTGTCTTCTGCATTAACTCTTGAAGGACTGGAGTCTGTATAAATGTCACGCACGCGTAGAAGGCACATTTGGTGGTATTCCAAGATGCCTGCTTCTAGAGCCCCCAAAACTGTCATATTGACTCATGGGGAATATAACACGGCTCCCAGACCAATAGCAGGTTCCCCGCCATGGGGCACACACAGCCCAAGGCGTAGGCGCAGTGATACAAGTCTGAAATAGTCAAATGTAGGTGCTCAGACCATTAAATTGCAATTGCGTTGTTATAATTATTGAATACCAAACAGCACGGTAATAATAGAAGTTGTGGCTCTCACATTGTATATCTCACCTGGGATCCAATTAGTCACCTCTTCAGTCTATGGACACTGAGTTATAGCTGCTATTCTGTGGGACGCATCCATTTTTATGACAATTGCTGGATGCACAGTTTGACAGGGGCAAGGACACTGCCCTCGTGGAAAATGGAAATTTATATGACACTGCTGCACTGAAAATTATAGTTGTCAGGAGGCCTTTAGAAAATCCAGGTCCTACATTTGGCCTCTAAAACACAAATGAAATAAAGTAGTAACATTATAAAATGTCCTTTTTGAAAACAGGCTGTTTTGGAGAGATGGGTATATAAGTACCTGAGATGCAGAATTGTGTTTATATTTAAGTACATGTCAATAGACCAATAGGCACGGAGGGAACCAGGCTGTTTTTAGGAATTTATGATGGAATTGTGACGGTTTTTAGTGCAGCGCCTTCAGATTGTAGCAGATAGCTCACAAGTGTGGGAAAGCTGAATTATCTTCTTGCCTCTGACAGTAGTAACCTTTTGTTTCCCTCTTGTTTTCTCCTTTCTTCTCAGGACTCCAAACTCACCAACTCATCAAAAAGCCAAGATGTTGGTATTACTGGCTGGCATCTTTGTGGTCCACATCGCCACCGTCATTATGTTATTTGTTTCCACCATTGCCAATGTGAGTAACGTTCTTTTGTTTATTCCTTCACCCAGGAGTTATTTAAATATTTACATAAAGTGCTACAAAGAACATTTAAGCCACAATCCCTGCCCTTCATGAATTTTCAGCTTAGGTGTGGAATCACACACATACACAC